AATCTCTATGGCCTAGTTGGTTTAGAAACAACCTAATACTCCTTTATAATAGAATATATGGTCTTCCTGTAGTCTATCTAGTCAATTTATTTACTATGACCCTGTTTATAGTTTCAGACACAACGCATATACACTGCTTGTTGCAAAGCACAAAAGGTCATTGCTTTGGAATTTCTTCGTAAAACTTTGCAGTCTATTGTGGAACTGACTCCTTAATGACATCCGTATATGTTTCGCGATCACCTAGTTGAAGAAACTAGTTATGCTATCGTTCGACTTTACGGAGATTCACTGACCGTTCACAGAACTCACATCAAATTCCGAGGCACTACTTTATGGTCCACCAAATATTTGGTTTAACCTCAAAAACTAATAACACAACATTGTGAATCACATCTTGTTCATGGATTAGCAGTTTCACGAATTTTTACTCCCTCGATTTCTTAAAATTCAGACACCTTGCTTTCTTACCTATTTATCGCCTTACTGACGGATTTTCGGCACTATTTTTTCTCATTTTCTTTCGTCAGCTGCCTATCCTTCCCGTCTCCAAACTACCTATTGACTGACCCATATGTTACAATTTATACCATCAGCTAACTTATTATCAGCGTGATATGCTACATGGACATTCAGTGAAACATACAGAAGCCGAAGTTGTTACGTTCGCTTTCAACGTGGAGCTAGTAGAAAGAGTGTATTCCGACAACGGGTACAAAAAGTAAAGCTGAGACTGAATAAGGTTAATCAAAATCTTTACCTTAAAGTAAGTACAGAATTCATTTTGAGGGCTTTGTTTTGCAAAAATCCCTTCCTGTACATATTTGTAATATGTTCTAACTGACTCTTTCTGCGCTACATTTTATTACCCCGTTTAATCCCATTTTGTGATGTTAATAATTTTATTTTGTTACAGTTTCTATTTTTGTACCTTTATTGGGGTTTCTATGTTTCCTAATGAGCTGTACTATGTTGTTTAAATTGATACTTAATTATGGCGTGAGCCACATCAGATTTGATGCACAGGCGGGTGAAACGTACGTCTGGACTGAAAGGGTGCAATTTTGGGCCTGAACGGAAGAATTATTCCGGAAGTGGAAACACATTGTGTTAATTTGAAGGGAGAACAGTATAATATTGTTTAGGTAATTGTCTGTATTATCTAATTAATAATAGAACCGTTCCTTACCCAGATAGGTTGGATATCCGCGAAAAGCGCGTATCTAATCTTCTAGAACAGTTCTTCCGAATTGAGAATCCACTCAAAAACCTAACAGTAAGGGCCTGACACCACAAAAGGAGGGAGGATGGTGTATTGGCGTAGAACATTTTGTTTGCTTGAGGCTCCTTACTTTATTGTGGGATGTGACTAATCAATTATTCTGGTGTTACTCTACCATGTTCAACCACTTTTGTAATCTTGCACTGGTTTCACTTCCTAATAAGCAATCTTATTACAAGCGGATTTGGATAGTGATGCTCAGTCATGACTTCTTGAGCTACAGCGTTAAAAAGCTAAAAGCATCAGACCCCTGTGCCTTCATTATGACATACTGTAAATCAATATTATTTCTATCGACATTTGCCCATTCATTATCTTAATAAAGACTTGTCTTTCTTAACCTACATAAGTGAAGGTGTACAGTTAGTGCCGTAGTACGGAGGAGGGTCTTAGTAAGAATAACTTTGTCTTTTTCTAATAGATCATCTGCTGAGTCACTAATCAGCTTTAAACAAGAAAATTTTCTGCTTCCCACTTCGCCCCTTTCTCTTAAATTCTCTTTTCCAGTACCTCCTCATACTCCTGATATACTAGCCTAGATAATTGCAGGGGACTTAGTTACTTTACCTTACCTACTTACGCCTGTCGGCCCCAATATAGCATAGGCCGTCGACCAGTGTTCTCTAACCTACGCTCTTCTGGGCCTCCCTTTCCATTTCTTTCAAATTTGTGTTCATCATTCTCATATCTTTCCCTGTTTCTCGGCGTAATCTGTTTCTTCATATTCGTCTTTTCCTTTTACCTTGAGGGTTCCAAATGGGCGCTTTTCCTGTGACACAGCTAGGTGCTTTCCGCAGTGTGTGTCCTATCCAATTCCAGATATTCTTCCTGATTTTTCTCCTCCACTGGAATCTGGTATGTTCTCCACCACAGTAGATTGTTACTGATGAAATCTGACCAACGGATCCGAAGTATTTTGCGTAGACAACTGTTCATGAGTGCTTGTATCTTCTGGATGATGGCTTTGGTAGTTCTCCAAGTTTCCGCTCCATACAGTAGGACTGTATTAACATTCATATTGAAAATTCTGACTAGTGTTGGCTGACAGCTGATTGAAGTTCCAGATGTTCTTCAGACTTAGAAATACCTTCCATACTTTTCCGATCAGTAGACTATCGAATCTTACGAAAACCATTCTGTTGATTTCGGAGTCATGCTTCTACGAAGTCCTTCATACTGTTTAAGAATAATATTTCGAGGGATTTACCTGGAATTGAGGGACGGGTGATGCCTCTGTAGTTCTCACACCTCCTGAGACCGTCTTTCTTTGGTATTTAAGTCAGGTGTTGTCCTGTGTTTCCTGAATTTTAATTTCATCTTGGCGACTAGATGGTGGCGATCTCATGCTATTGCAGCTCCTCTCTTGGTTCTCACATCCTCCATGGTCCTTCTGAAATTTGGTTGATTTGGTTCTGAGTGGTCTGATGCGGTGAAATCCAAATTGATTTGCCAATGAGTTTGTGTGGGAATATTGTGCCGCCGATGACCAGTTTGTTGAATGCACATAAGTTTGCAAATCTCTCACCATTTTCGTTCCTTTCTCCAACTCCATGTCGTCCCATGATGTCTTCATATCCACTGTTGTCCATGCCCACCTTGGCATTTAGGTCTCCCACTAGAATCTTCAAATCCCTTGGTGAGCATCTGTCGACGATTGACTGCAGCGTTTCTTAGAATTGATCTTTATCGTGGTCGTTGTAGTCGTTGTTAGGTGCATAGCATTGAATGACGTTGATTGTAACGTCCTCTTTGTTTGTTATGAAGAATGCTTTAATGATCCTGATTCCATGAGATTCCTATCCTATCAGTGTCTTTTGTGATGTTTTTACAGCATCAGTGCACTTCCTTGTGTGTGTGTGTGAGGAATTTTCTCCTTCACGACCAGAGTATAACAGCAGTTCCCCTGAAGCTAGTCTCAGTTTTCCTATCTGTATCTAATTCGTTTCACTGATTCCAAGCACCTCCACGTTGTATCGCTTTATTTCTGCATGAACCTGGAACAGTCTTCCGGTCTACCACATAGTTCGAACATTCCATGTACGTAAAAGAATGGTTGCTCTGATTGTTAGAATGAGCATTGGCGTCGTAATTTTCAAATGAACTTGGCTTCCATCATGATACGTCATAACTCTTTTGAATAAAGACCTTTTAACCGCTAGAGCAGAGTTGCAATAGTTGAAAATTGTTGTTTCTGGCTGAAGCTTTCTGGCGTGTTAATTTCATTGTGGGCTGGGGTTGCCAACACCACGCCCAATCCTTCTTCTTTATCCAGGCTTGCGGCAGCCAGTTGTCTTAGTGGGGCTCCAGGCGGAGTTGGTTACTTTACTTCGGAGCCTGTAAATCTATTATCGGACGATGATGAACAAGATTTATTTATCTCATTGATCTTATCAGTTCTCGCTATATAGTGACATGGATTTACGTTCCATTGATTCTCAACTGGCAGTGGTTTGTCACAGAACAACCGATCCCCCCAAACACAGTGAGTTAATGAGGTTTAATAATCAAAAAATAGGTGCTCTTAACCGAATTATTTACAAATGACCTGGAAAAAGGCAACTATAAAAGCTCAGTTGACACAATTAGACAAATTCGCCACCAACCATACTTCCAACAAGAACTAAGACCTTGATATCTGATATTTAATTTGTGTCAGGTTTTGAAAGAATATCCATCCTGATTAGAAACTCGAAGACTCGTGAAAAGAATCGGATGCCATCTTCAGAAAAATATACCATAATGTACGGAAAACCTAAAGCAAAATGGAATTAATGGCATGCGTTTAAACACGTCATCCGACAGAAGATGAACAGGAAAATATATTGCAAAGGAACTGTACGAATGGCGAGCCGAAGGAATGGCTCAAAAATATCGTGTCCCACTAACCAATCATAAATAGCCGAAAAGGGCTGATTTGTAAGGGCTGAATCCAAAATATGATCAGAGTTCCTATTTCTTCCATTTCTGACTGTATGGAACTTAGAAGGGTGGACAGATACGTGGTGTACCATGCATACTAATCGTGACAATGAGAGTTCGGATTTTCTCATCCGGTACATTCTACTAGAAACGGCTTCTGGAAAACAGATCACGATGCCAATATTTTTGGGCACATCAAACGATGGCGACAAAGAACTTGGAAGAATCCCATATCTAGCATAAGGTAGCATAGGGAACAAATATTCAGTACGAAAAATGTGTAGGAAGTAGAGCGTTTAAAAATACATTTTCGGTTGGATTCACTACATGTAAAGTTGGAGACAGGCTCTTGACTACGTACTTACTCCTCGGTTCAGGAAAACTGGTTTCGAAGACTTTATTAAATAGGCCAGGCTACCGGGAAAACCTTGTATGTAAGCTATACGAACCCTCGGGGCCTTAAATGTAAAATGTATCAGTTAAGATTGTTAGTAGAACTAAAACTAGAAATAATTATTGAAGAAAACATTTTGCGACGATTATGGATCGCGCCAACTCCATTGTTGGCAACATTTGTATTGAAGCCGGAGCGAAATTTTTCATGCGCGGAATATTTCATCAAATATCTTTTAAAATTTTCTATTATCCACCGAGGACATAAACATACAACTAATGAACAATGTCAATCCCAGATCGTCAGAAAATTATCGAAGACTCAAAGCATCAAGCAACTTTTCGCTATAAGATAACAATTTCAATCTTATTAACATGATTTGTTTTTCTTGTATAGTGCCTTGACCTTACGTTTCATGTACTTGTGCGGCCGCGTATATCAACCATCACCATTGTGGCCTTGTGCTTCCAACTTTTAGTTGCGATTGTCAGTTTGTCTTAGTTTCATGCTTGTTGTGAATTGCTTTTCCACGTAAATTTGAGTACATTCCATGTGCTAACTGAGTTGTCCGCTCAATTTTTTGTTTTTTACTCTTTTAGATAATCTTACTTTCCACTCTTCAGTTTTTCAGTGGACAAAGTACCTTCTACCTAAACAAAAACTAAACAGATTCTGAAGTTACTCCACAACTCTTCAATATACGTCCACAAACAAGTTGGTGCAAGCTTCATATAGATTCCCTGGATATTCTTCAGTTCACACTTATGCGTTTCAACTTATTACTTGTCTTCTTCGCTGCCTATCGTTAGTTTATTCATTTCGGTTAGTTAGAGGCTGTCTGGATTGTAGTCTTGTTCTTTCAGACTACTGTACTGTCTAAGTCTATTTATATAGCCTACGTAAGTCGAAGAGTAAAGTACACTTTAACAGAAGATAAGGTATACATCAATTGACTACCAAGCTATAAAATAAATGGATTGGTTGATGGGAAAAGCTAGAGGGGTAAGTCGTGGCTTCATGCATACCCCTTCAAGCATCATATCTTCAGCTGCAGCAGAACAGAATCCCATCGTTCAACATAACCCTTGCATTTCTCCAAATGGCACTCCCTCAGCGAGCACTAATAGTACAGGTACTGAAACAGACAGCAGACGTTCTCCTGTTCCTGTCAAAGAGTTTTCTGCCAACGAACCTCGAAGTGGCTTCACTGTAAGGTTACGCGCACCTTCACCTTTGTCTGTAAACGTCCAAGTCTCTCAGGTGCCGAGTAAATGTTCACAATCACCTGAGGCGTCTGTTGGAATAGAAAAACACGTTGATCCTAAAACCCCAATGTACATGAAGAATATATATGTTTCTCAGCAATTACCTATATTTTTGGATTCATCTTATCCGGAATTCTGTGATGTGGTGGAGCCATTTCCAGCTATGGATACAAATGAATGGCTTGCTGCGCACACAATTGCTTTATTTGACAATATTAGTACAATATATGACGCCATATATGAGCTCTGCAATTGCCGAAGCCTTTGGGAGTCTCTAGAAGATTCAGGCATCCGCAATATCGTCTCATCATTGTTAATAGAGATTTCAAATAGTTCACTTGGTGTACAAGGGGAAGATGATCGCGGTAAAAAAAACAAAAATCTTATAATGGGTTCTATCTCACAATATGGTAGGATATCAGCTCGTCAAGCCATCGATGGTGCTCTATCCTCTTGTCATGACCTTATTCAATGCCCTCGTTTATTTCCTATACGAAACGGTGAGCCTTTCCCTCCTGATTTACCGCAATATGTTTCTGTTATATGTAAAAATATATTGGTCTGCATAGTTCATTTGTATGTTGCACATTTTGATAATCTAGATCAACTTGAGTTAATACCTCATATGAATACTCTAGCCAGGCATTTCTTCGCATTTAGCAAGAGGTTTTCTCTTGTTGATGACAAGCAGTTGGATGCTTTAGCGTGTTTTAGTCACACAGCATTTAGTTCGAGCAATTGAGTAGCTGTCATTATAGTTATCATACAAGTTCATTTCTAATAGAATTACTATATCTGCAGTTAGTTGTCTTTCATGTAACATAAATAAATTTCGAATATCGAATTCTCCCTTTCGAAAGCGAATTCGCATCCGATTATGCACTACATTTTTATAAAAAATGCTGTTTCACGTAATTTCAAGTTTCTTTGTCTTATAATAATACTACCCTGCTCTTTTAGACATGTTCGTTGTTTTGTTTGATTTAATTCAATGTAAGTTTATTTTATTCCATGACATAAATATCCAGTTGTATGTTTATTCTTTTTAAAATTTAAATAAATCACTGATTTCGTGTAACGAAGTCTGGAGTAGCAGTTGAATTCCTAACGCCTCATCATTTAACCGATTCCATTTATGTATTATTGTACATTTCTTTTTGTTTCTAAAGGCTTCTTATCATTTTATCTCGATCATATTTGCATCGACTAATATTTTAGAAATACTAGACTCATTATAAAACATTATTCTGCTCAACTATATTGTTTTATGGTTTCTCTAATCAACTTACTCAGAAATTTTATTGTACTTCACAATCATAGCAATGTGTTCTGAATGGTTATGAACGTTCCTATGAATTATTAAAATTGTTATGATCGTTTTTGTCCGCAAAATTATGTGCTTGCACTTCATGTTAATCTTAATAATTTTGAGTAGTTTTTGATTATTAAGCCTTATAAAAACTTACCAAAAATATTTGTTTGCCTAATCTGGATCATACCGTGTTTGAAAGTTGAATTCGCTAATCAGCTAACATGAAACATGAAAACCTTCAACGTAACAATCATTTACGTGTTTATGCACTTAACTGTAACTGGCCATCGTACTAACTAATAGTTGGTTGCTATGACTGTAACCATTTACAAAATCATTTTCTCGGCTTTGAGCCCCACGCTTTTCAAGGGTTAAGATCGAAGCAAGCGAAGCGGAATCCGAACCAACTGCTGTGAGGTTAGTTATCGAGTGCCTTAGACAGAGTCATAAACCACAGCTGCAGAATATGTGAATCAGTAGCCTGGTGCTTGGGTGTAGGATTTAAATTTGTCCTACAGATGTAATTCTAAAAACGTAAACGCGACTACCGCCGATGACAGAGTCCCCAGTGAAACTATAGTTAACAGAAGACAATTCGGTTTTAAACTTTATCTGTTTCTAAACAAAAGAAAACGATTAATTTAGTACAATAAATAAGGAAATTACAATTATCAAGCAGGATGAGCAAACGTACCGGACAGTATAGCGTGTCTTTAGAAAATGAACAAAAATAACATGAGTCACATCTATATAAATAAAATAATAACATCCTTCAATCGATAGGCCGTTCACAACAAGAAAGTCCATAGACCGGTCAGACTAGATGACGTGGTGAGCGCTTAACCAATCTGATTGGTTAGTTATGACATAACTACAATTAGTTATAAAATAACTAACACTCCCCCCGAAGCGGTCACCACGTCGAGACCTCGTTGCCGTCGCGCTCGAATAATCGACCTCTTCCATTAGGCATAGGTTTCGTATATCTCGGTTGATGTCTACGGTGTCTCTTCAATCGAATCGTTCTGAATCGGCCATCGGGACCATAATTGACTTCTCTAACTATAGCTTCCACCCAAAGATTTCTCAGCAAACTAGTATTGTTTACTAACGGTGAGTCTCCATGTTGTGGCTTCCTTCTCGTTGACTTTATAATATGTTTCCATATACCTCCTCCGGGATCAAAGATTAATGCTATAAACGACAAAATATTCCTTCTGGTCAGGTTTCCAGGAAACACGTGAACTCTGACAAATGATTCATCCGCTCGGATATTCCGCTCTACTCCCAGCGTTCGTTTACACATCTCGTTGGGTCCGCATAGGGTAATGGTTCCCTTTATTTTATCACTTTTCTGGCAAAATGAATTCGATGATACCGGTGAGGATGCTACTGTAGCTTCCGCTGCATAATTTTCGGTTCTTATAGAATTATGTTTTGAATTAAGACCACGTCTGTTCTGATGGTTTGAGCTGATGGTGAATGTTTGACTCAAAACAGATACAGAACTGTCGAATCTATATGGACATGTGTCGTTCTCTTCGATAGCTTTTCCTTTCAATTCACGACGTCTTCGACAGGCTTCGTGAAACTGGAAAACACTCTTATCACAAACCATCCCATCCTGTTCGATGATTTCATCAAATAATTTTGGAAGAAGAGTCTTCTTGTCTTCTAAGACAGAGAAACCACTTGTACTTACATGAGTAGGACGTGACCGATAGCGATGTGTTTCAGGATCCGAAGTGCGGTCTATTGACTTGCTTTCTGACACATTTGTCCTTATTCTTTTAGCTTGAGATGTTCCTGATGCAGAATCATTGCTACTACTACATGAATACTGCAGATCAAATTTACTAGGGATTTTATTTGTGGATAGTGTACCTTGCTCTTTACAGAATTTTAAGACATAATCGATTTCGTACTGAGTTGCTTTGCGTAACTTGCTGACGGGTGTCCATTCTACAACGCGATCCCAAATATAACGTATGCGATACTCTGCTCTTGTACCATGTCGCTGACGATGGGCTAGAACCTCAGCAAGACATTGGAAGTCGTTGCGCCATGTAGCCATTACATAACTACCCACCTCATTAATTGCAACCATTCTCAAAGTTCGTGAGTCAACTAGAGCAGCAGGCATTTGTAACCAACTGAGAGTATTAATCAACAGTCTGCATTTATACACTAAACGTACTGCTGTCCGTGACCTGCAGAGAGATTCTTTATTCTTTTCAGCACCGTTGTTGTGTACATCATTTAACTCGAAATGAAAAGGTCCAAGATTATTACACCTCTGTTTATTAGCATCGGAATTATGAGCTCGGCAATGCTGTCGAATAACTGGCATTTCTCTTTCACCTGCAACTAGGTCGACTTCCGCTAAAGTTAACGTTTCTTCCCGTTTATCTTCAACTACTTCCTTAGCAGAATCTTCTAGATTTTTCGAATCCTTACAGTCTGTCTGAGAAGCTGTAACAACTTTAGCCGATGCAGTAAAAGGACACGAAGCAGAATCATGACTTGTAGATGATGATGTCCATAAATTAACCGAAGCATCTTTCGACACATCAGCATTCACAACGCTTGATGAAATATTTGAACCGAGAACACAATCAGATGGAATGTCTTTCTTAGCTATAGCAAAACTTGATAGAACGGCAGGTGACTTAGCTAATTCATTTGATGCTTTGAGTGATGCAACGGAAGCCTCTGTGTGAGAAACATAATGATTAGAAGGAGAACTAGAAAAATCCTGATCTGTCGATTTAGTGCGAGGAGGGTTTGTTCCATTCAGGTTTATTTGCATTTTATCATGTTCATTTAACCTTTGCACTGTGCTTGATATAGCGTTGAATGCTCTACGATCTTCCATAGACATAAACGGGTCTTTCGATTCAGTTGAGTACAACTGCTCAAACTTATCTTCCAGTTCCTCCTTAGCCGGGAGGTGATTAAGTGCACGGTTGTTATCAATGAATTCCCCGTAAGGACCGAACAGCGTCCAACCCAATAAGGTCTTCACAGCAGACGGCTCATCTGTCTTTCCAGTTCTCACCTCCTTCGTCTCGTGTACTCTCGGTACATTACACCCGATCAACAGTTTAACATCCTCATCTTCTACTCTCGGGAAACTTACGTCCTTTAAATAGGACCAGGATGCCATTTGACGCGCCGTTGGTACAGTTCTGTGAACTTCCGGTAGTTTTCTGACTGTCAATACCTTCTGGATCTTAACAGATGATGAGAAGTCTATAGCGTGCAACTCTACATCTACCTCTTTAGATACCAATGACGATTCGTTATTTATAGTCTTTAAAGACACAGTTCTCGGCTTTCCCTCGAGGCCTAAATTATCAGCTAGATCTTCTACTATTAGAGAGGTGTCTGACCCACTATCTAGAAAGGCGCACGTCTGCATAATTCTCTCACCGTTTTTTATCCACACAGGAACTACTGCAAATGCCACAGGCCTCTGTATGCCCTTAACATCTTCCTCTGTACAAATCTGAGAATTAATGCAGGCATCACTAATAATATCTCTTCGTTCTTCCTGCTTCTCATGTAACAGAGTATGATGTCTCCAGCCACATCCCTCAACAATACACGACCTTGGCGATCGACAATTCTTTGCTATATGGTTTGGTTTCAGACAATTATTACATAATTTATGCTTAAAGACGAACTCTTTCCTTTCTTTAACATTCTTGTTTTTAAACTTCTGGCACTGATCCAAGAGGTGATTGCTTGAGCAATCTGGACAAGGTGAATTATATAAGGAAGTATTGCTGTCATTAATGCTTACATGTGCTACCGTCGCTATGTTGTAACTTGCGGCAGCTTTCCCCTTTAAAGCACCAAAACCTCTTTTGTCAACATTATCGCTGCGGTTGACAAGCAGGCCGTATCTAGTGTTAGCTATGTCCGACTGTTCTTTAACAAATTCACAGAGGTCATTGAATGAAGGCTCTCTACCCGTCTTGAGAATTCGACATGCTACTTTAACCCATTCTCTCTGTAGGTGTGGTGGAAGTTTTAAAAACATGCTTTCGATGGTTTTCGTAGAATTAAGATCCGACAGGTAGTTCATTTGTGTGAGCGTAAGCTCACAGACATACATCTCACGAGCTAGCCTTCTTAAACTATTTGAGTCGGTTTCTTTAATAGCAGGGAAGTTTAACATCTTGTCGATGAATGCACGGGCAACTACGTGTTTCTGACCGAATGCTTCCTCAAGAAGCTCTAACGCTTTACGATAACCTTCTTCTGGTTGAAGCAATGTACAATGAACAATGGTAGCTTTAGCTTCCCCATCACAATATTGAATCAAGTAGTTTAACTTAGATCGAGGTCCGACGCTTTCATCAAAACAATCCTCGAAATTTCGTATGAAACTCCAGTAGTTCATAGGATTACCATCGAACCTCATGATTTCTCGCTTGGGTAGGTCTAAAGCTCTGGATATCATTCCTACCCATCCTTTTCCTGCGCTATCAGCTGTACGCGAAACAGATGCAGATTCGAACGACATAAACTTTTCGTCCTGAATTTGGTTACAATGTTCTTTTCCTTTTTGCCGTAGTCGTTCTAACTCAACTTCCTTTTCTAGATGAGCTAAACGTACTTTAGCTAGTTCTAATTCCAACAAAGGATCCATTCGGATGTTATTTCTTCCAAAATGGTCTTCACTGTGAGTTTCTGAATAGTGTGGAGACAATTCAGGAATCTGATCACTCTTCTGATCCTCCGTAGACATTTGAAGATATTCAATATATGAACCTTTGATGAAATACTGTCCGAAACTATGTAGGATTTAAATTTGTCCTACAGATGTAATTCTAAAAACGTAAACGCGACTACCGCCGATGACAGAGTCCCCAGTGAAACTATAGTTAACAGAAGACAATTCGGTTTTAAACTTTATCTGTTTCTAAACAAAAGAAAACGATTAATTTAGTACAATAAATAAGGAAATTACAATTATCAAGCAGGATGAGCAAACGTACCGGACAGTATAGCGTGTCTTTAGAAAATGAACAAAAATAACATGAGTCACATCTATATAAATAAAATAATAACATCCTTCAATCGATAGGCCGTTCACAACAAGAAAGTCCATAGACCGGTCAGACTAGATGACGTGGTGAGCGCTTAACCAATCTGATTGGTTAGTTATGACATAACTACAATTAGTTATAAAATAACTAACATGGG